GGCGGCGGCGGCGACGGCGGCGGCGACGACCACGACGACGACGGCGGCGACGGGCGGCGTCGACCCTGCGGCGTCGATCCGCCCCCCAGGGCGCTCTCTGGGAGCGAGGTGTGACAGAGCCAGACATGCGACGTCCTGATTTTCTCAAAACGATGTCCCGACCCTGCCCCTGTGACCGGTTTTTCTGAGCCGTTTTTTGACGGTCCCGAGGCCCGGCGGGGGTTCCCCGAGGCCGAAATTAGCCCAAACCTCCCGTCCAGAAGTTTAACGACGCGATCATGTCTGGGGAAGTCCCAAGAGAGGGTCCAGCCGCGACGACAAGGAGCCTCCCGGAGTCCCACAGTGTGGGAACGGCAACTGCACGCCGCTGTCATTCCTACTATATATAGCCGGCCAGGGCCGTGCTGCCTCGACCAGGAGGGCCTGCACGCCATCCAACGGGCCCACTCTTCTCTGCGCCAGCTCCAAAGGGGCCTCCCATGCCATCTTTATGGCTCTGCGAGTCGACGCTAAAGTCGACGCCAGTCGACGCCAAGTCGACGGTACATCGGCGCCATCTCATCGACTGCCAGATGCTGGTCGACGCACGTGCACTCTGAAGACAGCTGTGCGAGGGTACACGAGGCTCCCGTCCTTTGCTGCCCGAACCCCGGGGTGGTCCTGGCCAACGACGGTGGTGGCGCAGCGCTGCCTCCCGCGAACCGGCGACGGACGCCCGGAAGCCTTGCGACGGGGACCCTGGGCCGCGTGGCAGGCTCTGGCCAGAGCCGCCGCTGTCCCCGGACGCAGCGGCCCCGACAGGATGCGAGCGGCTACGGCCTGGGCGGCAGCGGCGTCGGCAGCGCGGGCGTCTGCGGCAAAAGCGCGGCGGCGAAGGGCGGCATACCCTGAGGTCCGACGCCTCGAAAATACTGAAACTGGAGCTCCAGACAAAAACGAAGCCAGGACGAGGATAACATCCGGTGAGGACCATTGGAGAATCTCTCAAATGCGGCGGCTCTGGAGGATGCCTCGGGCGCCGCGGCCTTCTCAGAGCGTTCCCGAACTCTTTGAAAGCGTTCTGGAACACTCTGGCACGGATTTATCCTCGTCCTGGCCCCGTCCGAGGAGCCCTAGACCCCATTTTCCTGTTTTGTTCTTCGAGCCGGATCGACCTGCGAGGGTCATGGGGCCTGGAACCGGTGGCGAAAACGCCCAGCTCAACAAAAAATGAGTCGCCAGGTGGCCCTTTTGTTCCTTTCCCGGATAGCAGTCGTTACCCAGCCCTGACTCCAGATCCGCCCTACTTTGGCTTTTCACATAAAGCTGCGTCGGAAATCCACCTATATGAGGCCGAACAAGTAGGGCGGACATTCCTGCACCCAGCATCAAGTAGGGCGAACATCCACAGAAATACGGCAGAAACAGCAGCAGAAAAATAGGGCGGAAATTGGCATCAGTGGGGCTTGAAAAGTAAGGCGGAAATTCCAAGCCCTACTTACGAATTTCCCCAAAAAGTAGGGCGGATCCGGAGTCAGGGAGAGGGGGGGGGTCGGGCAGGGGCGAAGGGTAATGGTAACAAGGCCGCGGGGTGCACTTGCCAGGGTGCGTCCGCGCCACCGGCGCATCATTCGCCTGTGTGCACCACAGCACCGCAGTACGATCGTTAGCGTTACCCTATGGGAAGGGGGGGTTGGCGCGGGTGACGAGCGTTACCCTGGGGAGAAACAAAAAAGCTCTCCAGGATCTTGAGTAGGGGAAGTGAGAAGGGGCGGGCCTCGTCAAAAGGCTCGGCAGTTCCCCCGGTCTCCTGAACAAATTTCTGAGCCCCCCCCCGAAGACACAGAAAACCTCTCCGAAGGCCGCAAGGCATCTGAGAATTTCCGCTGCCTTCTGAGAAGGTCTTCTTTAGAAGGAGAAAAAACAACATAAACATAAACTTTTGGCGCCCCGCGCGGAATGGACCCCCCTCCCTGGCGCGCGGAGCGCACTAGGGGCGGCGCCAGAGGCACCGCCAGGAGGCTCAGCGCGGATCCAACAAATCCGCGCGGAGCACCAGCAGTGTGTGTTTGTGCTATTGTTGCCCGCCTCGCTCGCCGCCGACTCTGGGGAGGCTCCTTCGACTCTCCTCCTCACTTCCCCGCCTCGCTCGCCGCCGACTCTGGGGAGGTCCTTCGACTCTCCTCCTCACTTCCCCGCCTCGCTCGCCGCCGACTCTGGGGAGGCTCCTTCGACTCTCCTCCTCACTTCCCCGCCTCGCTCGCCGCCGACTCTGGGGAGGCTCCTTCGATTCTCCTCCTCACTTCCCCGCCTCGCTCGCCGCCGACTCTGGGGAGGCTCCTTCGACTCTCCTCCTCACTTCCCCGCCTCGCTCGCCGCCGACTCTGGGGAGGCTCCTTCGACTCTCCTCCTCACTTCCCCGCCTCGCTCGCCGCCGACTCTGGGGAGGCGCGGGCGGAGGCGAGCGGCGGCGTTGGCGGCGGCGGCGGCGACGACGAGGACGAGGACAAGGACGACGATAAGACGAGGAGGACGACGACGACGACGAGGACGACGACGACGACGACGACGACGACGACGACGACGACGACGACAAGGACGACGACGAGGACGAGGACGAGGACGACGACGACGACGGCGGCCCTGCGGCGGCCGGGCTCCTGCCAGGTGCGGCCTCGGCTCCTCCTCGCCTGCGGGGGCGGCCAGCAGCGCCCTGGCGGGGTCGTCGGCGCCGCCCGCCTCGCAAGCCTCGCGCGCGCACGCCATCCTCGTCGTCGTCGTCGTCGTCGTCGTCGTCGTCCTCGTCCTCGTCGTCGTCCTCGTCCTCGTCGTCGTCGTCGTCGTCGTCGTCGTCGTCGTCGTCCTCGTCTTATCGTCGTCCTTGTCCTCGTCCTCGTCGTCGCCGCCGCCGCCGCCGCCGTCGTCATCGTCGCCGTCGCCGTCGTGGTCGTGGTGGTCGTGGATGGTGGCGATGGTGGCTGGTGGTGGTGGTGGTGGTGCTCGCAGTCTTCGGGAACGCCCGGGGGCCGCGCGACCTCCGGGGAGCTCCAGCAGGCGTGCGGGACTGGCACGAGGCCGTGCACGGGCGGGCACCCAGAGGAGAAGCCTGGGCACGCTGGCCGCCGCGCGGGGCGGGCACTGGGCGAGATCCCGGCACATGCCAGCCAAGGACTGCAGTCAAGGACGCGCTGCAAGGACGCAAGACCCTTGGACGGTCCTCCGGGCCCTTAGACGGTCCTTGGACGCCCCCGTGGAAGCTTTTCTGGCGGCGCGCTGCCGAACAAATCTAAGGACGCAAGGGGCCCTTGGGAAGCTGACCCGTTCTTGAAATGGACTTCCACTGTAGGGCCGACAGAAGAACCATGGAAAGAAGCCCTCGGCGCATGCGCTTCGGAACGCTTGTTGGTTCAGATCCACTCGAGAAGCTCTCCGACAGCCGCGAGGACCTCCCCAGGCACTCCAACCACGGCCGCGCGGCCGCATGGAGGCGCCGCGCCCGCTTCGGTACCGCCCTCGGCACACCCCCATCGCACGGAGTGCGCCTCTACGGGTGCGGCATCGGCAGTCCCTGGCCGCTTTTCGGCACGTTTCTTCGACTGTTTAGGGTTTTGTTTGATGCCGTGGTCTCTGCATCGGTCTCCTCGGTGGCTTCTGCAGCAGCCTCCTCGGTGGTCTCCGCAGCAGCCTCCACTGAAGGGAAACTGGGACACACAAATAAATACACACACATAAAAAGATTCCCCATATTTTCCTATATTTTCTGGGTTTTTGCCTTCCCCCCCACTTCCCATATTTCCCATATTTTCGTGGAAATCGACAAATAATTGTGTCTGTGTGTTTTTCTCCCTCCTGATCCACAGCAGCCTCCACAGCAGTCCCCTCGGTGGTCTCCACAGCAGGCGCGGCACGTGCCCCACGGGGCCCTCCACCTGCGGACGGCCCCGCGGGCGCGGCCGCCCCGCCCGCAGACCGCTCTCCACCATGCGACCCTGGAGGGCGCGGCCGCGCGGCGGCGCCTCCCCCGCTGCGGCACACTCCCCTCGCACGGATCCTGCCCAGCCGCGGGAAGGCCCCTCGATGAGAGATTCGATCTGGAGAATCACAGCTTTCGGGGGCTCGGGTGCGCCCCCTCTCTTATCCCTGGGAGCGCCTCTTGCACTGGGGAGGGGGGGTCCCAGATGGAGAATCACCCTGGAACGGTTTCGGGTTGATTTTCCACCTGGGGCGCTCCCGAGATTCACTTGGGGAGCCCAGCCGCGAGAAGAGGCTCCCAAGTAAGAGGTTTGACTTGGAAGGTGACGACTTTGGGAGCTCGGGTGCGCCCCACTGCTTCTCCTCGAGAGCGCCTTTTGCATTGTGGGGGTCCCAAACGGGAAATGACCCTGGAACGGCTCCAGGGTGACTTTTCATCTGGGAGCTCCCCAAATCAGCAGAGCTCCCCAAATCAGCAGGCACTCTCGGGGATAAGTGGGGGAGCGTATCTGAGCTCAAAAAATGGTGAGTTACCGAATGAAATCTCTTATTGGGGAGCGTTTCTTCTCGGTTGGGCCTTCCAGCTGTATCCCACACGGAGAGGGCCAGATGGAAAATCGCCTTTGAACAGCGGCCCGTAAGGCTCCTGAGAGCGGCCTAGATAGAAAATCACCCGCTTCAGGTTCTAGTTATCGCCCCGGAACGGTTCCAGGGTGATTGTGGAACCTGAGACGGGTGAATACCCCAAAATTGAGCGGGCGAAAAAAAAGTATAGCATAAACTTTGCCGTCGCCCGGGGCGCTGCCCCAAGGCGGCTGGAAAATTGATACCTTGACGTGCCACCGTGAGGGTATGAACATTCCACCCGCCCTGAGACAGGCGCCCCCGACAGCGAAACAATGTATCGTATACCGCTCTTCGCCCGTCAAGACATACGCGCCCACCCTGCGCTGACCCCGACATCCGCCGCGCCTTTTTTTGCCGCAGACCTGCCTCACGAGTCCGCCTCCGCCGCGGCCGTGGACACGCCGCCGCGCAGCGCGGGCAGCTCAGCGCCCGGCTCCACGCTCCCCCGGAGTCCGGCGCCCGCCCTGTCGGACACGAGCCGCCTCTGGGGCCCGCGGCGCGTGGGCGTCGGTGGTGCGGGCGGCCGCGTCTGCCGGAAGGCCAAACGCCGGCGTCGGCAGGAACCCTCGGAGGTGGGCGCGGACACCTCGGGTCGACGCCGGGCCGCCCTATTACCCCCCACACCCCTGGCTCGGCGGTGAGCGAGGGGGGGAAGCGAGAAGGAGAAGGCCTTCGCAGAAGGCTCGAAAGTCCCCTGGCCTGCTCAAAAGTCTTCTAAGCCTTCCCCGAACACAAAAACAAATTCTCAGAGGACGCGAACGCTTCTGAGAAGTCCCGCCGCCTTCCGAGAAGGCCTTCTCCTTCTCAATCCCCCCCCCCCTTGCTCGCCGCCGACTGGCGGCGCCTCCGGCGCCGCTCCCCCGAGTAGGGGTCCAGCGACGACCCAACAAGTCTGGGCGGACCCCCGCAGGTCCATGCCGAAGGGCTTTTGGCTTTCCGTCTGCGGTATCTTCGCCACCGAGACGCCCTGCCCCTCGCTGGCCGCTGGCGGCGGCGCGATCAAGAGCTGATGCGTAAGCTCTGGTGCGGGGCTGTCTGGCTGGTCGCTGCAGCGCTCGAACGCGACCACCAGCTTCTCACACTCGTCCAGTGGAAGTATTCTCCAGTTCGCGCCGTCGGCGCGACCAGTGAAGTCGAAGATTGCGGTCCACAGATTTCTGCTCGCCACGAAGCCTACCTGCTTGAACTGTGCAGACAGCCCCGGGTACTCTGCTGCAAATGGGGCGAAAGACAAGTCCGACGAGCTCTCGATCACTGGCTCCGTGTGCGAATGGAGGTGGAACGTGCAACTCGCGCAGTCTCTGGTTCGCAGCTGTCTGCAGGCCAGCCAGAAAGTGCAACCCCTGCAGTTGCGCGCGAAGATGGAGGAGTTGCATGGACCAACCAGCACGATGCAGTCGACGAGCTCATCCAAATATACTTGGTCGGTCCTATCACAAATGAGGATGGTGCAACCGCTGCACTCCTCGACTTGAAAATCTACGCCACTCATGCCCCCGAAGGCCCCGGGCTTGCGCACGAGCACGCAGTCCTTGCGCTTCGACATGGAATATGGGCTCAGGCTTCCCCTGATCCCCGTTCTAAATGCCTCCAAGGTCACTCCTGACTCACCGCCAGCGGCCTGGTGGAAGGCAACAATCTCCGCGTCGCCGTAGCCAAGAAAATCTCCGAGATAGCCTCGCAAGTCCGCCAAGCCCAGCGAACCGTCGCCGTCCGCGTCCGCGTCTGAGAACACGGCCGCGAGGTCCTTCGGGCGATGCAACGGGGACTTGCCCTCCAGCCTGCGTGCCGGCGGCGCCGCCAATGCCTTCCGAGGAGCGGGGGGAAGAGGAGGAGCATCACGCCAGACCGCTCGAGCGAACCAGCGGGCCCCGCCCACTCCCACCCGCGTGCCCACTTTACGAGAGAACCTGGCGCGGCGATGAAGCGAGAACAAGAGCCCGCTTTCTCGGCCGCTATTCCGACAGCCTGCTGGTCGAAACATATGCGCCGCGACTGATCGGGAGCGAGACTTCAAGAACCACATGCGAGAGATACACTTCGATACTTCGTGCGCAGTGTGTGCCGTGCCCAGCTTCCTCCTCGCATTTTGGAGCGTCGACGACAGCACACGTCCGTGTTGCAATGGGGCTGGTTGGAAGGAGGGGCCTCCGGGAGGCTACTACCAGGGCAAAGACGAAGGAAAATGGCACGTAGTACAAACTCACGCGGTACACGGACAACACGAGGAGGAGACATGTACATAGCCCCAACACTTGCGGAGATGCGTGAGGGGGCGTGGGGCGGATCGCCGGCAGTCTGCGAGGCTCAAGGGCGCATTGTCTCAAGCTCGCCGCAAGCACCAAAGTTTCACGCATAACACAACGAGCCTTCCGTAGCCGCCGATATCTAATCAACGCAGTGTGATTGGGTCGCGGGTGGGTCGCGGGGGAGACGACAACACCAACAATCCTCTTAAGACTGGTCGTTGGTAGCTGCTCGCGTGCAAATCAGGTTGTATACCCCAAACCCTCGATACCAGATTTTGGCGTCTCCTGTCGTACCCCCTTTGAAGTCATATCTTCCTTACCTGCCACGTATAATTGGCGAAGCCCCTCAAACAGGAATAAGAAGGCGACAGGAAGAACAGCATATCCCCATACTCTTGTCATCTGGGACCCTGCGCAACCCCCCCCGCACCCAAAAACGGCCTCACGGATCCTTGGCCCCAGGGGCACCCTGCACGCCCTTGCAGACGGTCCCCTGTGCCTTCCGGAATATCGAAGCCCCTGCTGGGCCAAGGCAAAAGGGCCCAAAACGGTCAGGTGGGCGGCCGAACGGCCACGCGAGAACACATAAAGCCCCAGACAGCCACCAAACGCCCGCAGACGATCCAAAGATGTTCCCCAAGAGGCATTCGAAACGCAAAAAAATGCTTCCGATGGCTGTTGTATGATTTGGGGAATGCTCTGTTCTTCGGTCTTGCGGACGTCCGAAACCGCCCAGGGGGCCAGAGAATGGCCCCAAATCTTACTTGGAACGCTTCCAGGCAGTCCAAGAGAAGCCCCAAGACGGCCCAACAGGGCCCCAAGATGGCCCGAAAAAAACCCCCTGACGGCCCAAGCCGGCCCCAAGAAACCCCCTGAATCATTCCAAATCGTGACCCGTGACCCAATCGTTCAGGGAGACCGCGGTTGGAAGCAGGGTGGCCCGGGGAATTTCCTAGAGGCCCCCAGAAGGAACCAAGGAGGCCTCCCAAAGGCCCCCCGAAGCCCTAAAACACGTTCGTGAGGTCTCCAAGAGGCTCTCAAACGATGATCTTCCGCAGAAAGAGCTGAGCATAGGGGACGAATTCGACAGGTAAGGCGAGACTGAAGAAGAAACGAATCACATTATTACAATGCCGATGTTGGCAGACACAACAAAAAGCTATCGTTGAATGTTCCACTTCGCCTTGTTGCCTTCCTGCCTGCATGCCAAAGCTCAAAGACCAAAGTGCATGGCGCGGAGCGCCACTGCAGTTTTGTGTATGTATGTATGTATGTATATGTAGATGTATGTGTGTATATATATATATACATATGTACTCGAACCACGCGCAGCTACACGCGCGCTTAGGTTCCAGCTTAGTCCGGGGCAACGGCTCAACAACGGACGGGGGGATCGAAGGCTGAATGCGCTTCAGTTATTTGTCGAGTTTCGTGGGTCGTGGTTCGAAAAGCTTTTGGGCGCTCGTCACCCCCAGGCGGTCCGATGAGGACGAAAACGGCACCTCTTGCTCGTCCTCCTCTCTCTCCCCCCTCCTCCTCCTCCCCTCCTGCTTTTCCTCCTCCCCTTGTTGTCCCCTCCTTTTCCCTCTTCCTCCTCCTCCTCCTCCTCCTATTCTCCTCCTCCCCCCCCTCCTGTCACTCCTCCTCCTCCTCCTCCTCCTTCTCTTTCTCCTCCTTGTTCTCATCCTCCGCTCCCTCTTCTCCTCCTCCTCCTCCTCCCTCCTCCTCCTCCATCATCATCATCAGCATCATCATCATCATCATCATCATCATCATCATTCATCATCATCATCATCAGCATCAGCATCATCATCATCATCATCATCATCATCATCATCATCATCATCATCATCATGCTCATAATCATCATCAGTATCATCATGCTCCTCCTCTTCCTCCTCCTCTTCCTCCGCTCCCTCACCTCCTCCTCCTCCTCCTCCTCCTCCCTCTCCTCATCATCATCCTCCTCCTCCTCATCATCATCCTTCCCTCCTCCTCCTCCTCCTCCTCTTCCTCCTCCTCATCCTCCTCTCAGTCCTCCTTCTCCTCCTTCCCTCCTTCTCCTCCTCTTGTCCAGCCTCCATGGCTCGCAAGACGGCGCCGCAACGCCGTGCAAACACCGGGCCACATCGGATGACGGGAACACTCGGAGGAGGCCTCCATTTTCCTCCTCCTCCTCCTCTTCCTCCTCCTCTTCTCCTCCTCTTCTCCTCCTCCTCCTCCTCCACATCCTCCTCCTTCGCCTCCGCCTCCGCCTCCTCCTTCTCCTCCTCCCTCTTTCCTCCTCCCCCCCCCGCCCCTTCCTCTCTCACCCCCCCTCCTCCCCCCCTCCTCCTCCTCCCCTCCTCCTCCTCTTCCTGCTCCTCCTCCTCCTCCTCCTCCTCCTGCTCCTCCTCCGTCTCCTCTTCCTCCTCCCTTTCCTCTTCCTCTTCCTCCTCCTCCTTCTCCTCCTCCTCCTCCGCGTGCAAGAAGTCCAACAACATGTCGCGCAAATCAACGAACTGTGTCCCTCGGGGCCGTTTTGGACGTCCTTCTGAACTTTTTGGGGCCGTCTTGGGCGTTCTGGGAACCCGGGAATCATGTTCCCGGAGAGGCTTTCGGGAAGATGATATCGGACGCTGCGGAAGAGGCCCCCCGACAATCTCCAGGCAGCTCTTCTGGCCCCAGTTGTGGCTCTGTTGGGTGCCTTTTGGTGTTCTCTAGGGCTCTCACGGGCCATGTTGGGTCCCTCTTGGGCCGTGTTGGGTCCCGTCGTGGGCGTCAGGGGCACTGTGGAGACGAAGCAAGCGAATATGCGAAAAATGTTCGTTCTACGAATAGGAATGGGCCGATGTTTGCCCCTTGAAAGGTCCTCTTGGGGCTCTTTTGGTCATCTTCAAGCCATCTCGGGCCCTCTTGGGGCGCTCTTGGGCGTCTGGGAGTCCTCGTGGGCCTCGCTGAAGCTGTCTTGGGGGTCGTTTGGGCAGTCTTTGGGGTTTCTTAGGCCGTTTTGCGGGGCGGGGGGGGGGGGTCGCTGGCCCCACAGGACGCCTGGGGCGGCTCTCTCGGGCTGTTCTGGGGTTTTCATGTGGCCGTCTTGGGCACCTCACAACGGACGGGGTGGTCGGAGTCTGAGATCGCCTCAGTTTTTCGTCAATTTGCCAAGGTCGTGGTTTGAAAAACTGTGGGGCGTTCCTCGCCCCCAAGAGGCCAGCGGAGGCCGAATACCACACCTCCTCGTCGTCCTCCTCCCTCCTCCCTCCTCCTTCCTTTTCCTCCTCCTCCTCCTGCCTTCCTCCTCCTCCTCCTCCTCCTCCTCCTCCTCCTCCTCCTCCTCTTTCTCCTCCCTTCCTCGTTCGCTCCTCTTCCTCCCCTTCCTCCTCCTCTTTCTCCTCGTCCCCTCCTCCCCCTCCACCTCCTCCTCCTCTTCCCTTTCCTCCTCCTCTTTGCTCTTCGCCCTCCTGTCAAGTCTGCGTGGCCCACCAAACGGCACCGCAACTCCGCGCGAGCACCGGGCCGCACCGGATGAACTGAACACTCGGAGAAGGGCCTCCCTCTTCCTCTTTCTCCTCTTTCTCCTCCTCCGCATCTGTCTCCTCCTCCTCCCCCCGTCTTCCTCCTTCCCCCCCCCCTCCCCGCCCACCATTCCTCTCCTTTCCTCCTCCTCCTCCTCCACCTCCTCCTCCTCCTCAACCTCCTCCGTCTCCCTTTCCTCCTCCTCATCCTCTTCCTCCTCCTCCTCCTCCTCCTCCTGCTCCTCCTCCTCCTCCTCCTCCTCCTCAAGTGGCTCAAGCAGCCAGACTAGTCCATCCAGCGCAGTCCGTCCCCCTTCCGATTGCCGAACCCTTCGTCAACCCACTAACAGTCCGCTGAGATGGCTTTCTCTCTGCAGTGCCCGCAATCGCACAACATGGAGAACCAGGACATGGACGCCGAGGTCACACGCAACGGTTGCAATACTGACATTCCTTCAGACAGATTTTCCATGGCTTGCAACGGGGACCTCTGCGGGTACATTCTCTGCATGGATTGCGCAGGTTACCAAGTAGGAAGGCACGCCCAGAAGAAACGCCAGATGGGAGAGGGGGTAGTAGTGATGCACTCCCCTCCGAGAGAACAGGGCTCAACAGGTCCTTCACAGCCTATCGAGATCTCAACCCCAGAAGGTGCTGCCGGCAGACGCGCACAAGCCCAGGCCGCCTCCCCACTCAACACTTTGGACGATGGCGCAGCCCTCGGAGGTGCTGCAACTGCTGTACGACAAGGCGCGTTCGAGGAGGAGCTGGAAATGCCACAGCACCGCTTACTGCAAAAAATCTTGGGGAAATATTGAAGTTGCACTTGCAGCCCATTCAGAAAAACATTGCATCCATCAAGTTACATGGTGTATCCAGGGAGGAATTCAACACGACTATCAAGCGCATCGAGCCTAAGGTAGACGGCCTGACCCAGAACTTTCATACCTTCCAGAGAAGCGTGACCGCAGACATCGAGGACATACAAATACGCACGACGAATTTGGAGAACGACTTGAAAGATGAATTTGAGTACTTAGAGAAACACTCTGGGAATATCTCAG